TCCAGGATGAGTTGATCACTTCCCTTGCATTAGCATTTCCTAGCCATCTTCGATCAAAATGAAACCTTTTCTTATATTTCTGATGGCCTGGACTGGATTCCACTACTAACATACAGTGGTCTGAAGATGATTTATAGACATTTGTCACTTGAGTGTTGGGATAATTTGAAAGCCAGCCAAGAGAAACAAACATCTTGTCCAGGGCCTCCTCAACAAAACCTTCCCCTTCTCTATTATTACCCCATGTGAAGGGGTAGCCTCTACCTTTGATTTCTTGCATTGTCATATTGGCTATAAACTCTTGAAAACCTGCCATGCTATTGACTGACCTATGTCTGCCTCCTTTCTTGTCATCTTCACTGTTAATATCATTCCAGTCTCCTAGCACAGTCCACACATTCCCCCAGTCAGATCTCATAAGTTCTAACTGCCTCCATTGATTCTCTCTCATTCTTCTGTCTGTGCTCATGTAAACAAAACAGACCCAACTGGATTCAACTTGTTGAGGACACTTGAATTGCACCTCTATGCAAAAAGTATGTTTCCTTAATTGAATGATTGATACTTCTTCCCCCCACATAAGCAGAAGACCTCCACCAATACCCACTGGATCAACTGCTGCAAATCTGTTATGAAAACCTAACTTCTTACACACTGTGAAAATGAAATTATTTTGTTTTTTGGTTTCTGAAAGAAAGACAAAATGGGGGTGGTGAGCCCTGAGGGACTCTTTTAACTGGGGAACTGTAGAGGGGCCACCCAAACCTCTACAGTTCCACACCTGAGCATTCATTGGTCACTCCGTGACCAATTTGGGCTGGTCACCTCCACCCTTACGCTAGCCTCTTTTAATTTCTTCTCCACATGAGCACTCTTATTTGTATCAACTTCTTGATCTGTTAGGAGCATTTCCCCTATGGTTCTTTTGGTCCTTGGATCCCCTGATGATGGAATTTGCTTAGCAGTTTTCTTCTCTGCTCTACTATCCATGTCTGCTCTCTTCCATGTGCTAACTCTGCTTCTCTTATGTGGCAAGATGTTCTTGTCTAATGGCTCTTCTATTTGACTTTGGAGTTGAGTTTCTGCTTTTGTATCTACTTCCATAATTTCTACTCCCTTTTTAATTAGAGGATTCTGTTCACTTTCATTGATTTTTAGAATGGCAGCATCTTTGCTGGCTTCTGCCTTCTCTCTTGATATTTCTCCTTCTATAAGCTTGGCTTTCCCAATTGGGCATTCATTCTCTGCTTCCTCTGCAATGTTCATCAACTCAGGACTCTTATTGCTATCACCTTTTGGGATTTCCTGCATAATGTTGTCTGTTGCTGAAGCCCCTGAATTGGGTTTTGGTGAATCTGTGAAAGTGCCATTTAATCCTGAGCCTGAGGAGGGATTATTAGCATAACCTGGGAGTGTCATGGGGGCCTTGATCCATTCCCCGTATTGTCCCTCTTGCAGCTTATGTTCCTCCATATCTGACGTTCTCAGCTTGCAGTTCCTGTCCATATGGCCCAGTTTGCCGCAATAGTAACATATGTTAACCAACCTTTCATATCTGAAGTTAACTCGAACCCTCTGGTCTGCTAGCTTTATATGAGTGCATCTTGGTAAAGCTTCCTGTAAGTCTATGATTGCTAATAATCTCAGGAACCTGCCAGCAACATGCCCAGATTGATGAATAACCACATTTCGCACCCCTTTGAAAACTTTGCCGATTTTCAAGCCTACCTCGGTGCACAACCAGTTGAAAGGTAAGTTTTGCACCTGGACCCAGAGCACAACCTCGTCGAAACATTGATGGTTGAGGTTCATTCCTTCTCTCCATTCCTTAAGAATAAGATACTGATTTTCAAAGATCCATGTGTTCCCCGCTGCTACTTTCTGAAGATCTTCGCTAGAGTGGAAGACAAATTGAAAGAAATTAGGGCCGAGCTCCCTAACTTCCATGGCTTGTTGAATTTTCCAGATTGCTGTCATGGTCCGTTTCACTCCCACCAGGGCTGCTTTCCTGTCTCCTATAACTTTCCCAAAGAGACTTCGATTGACGTCTTCTTCACTGACCTTTATGTCATTGCTACCCAATTCGATGTCTCCTGCCTCCTTGTTGGACAAGGAGAATTTGTCTAATTTCTTAGACAATTCTTCTTCCGCATTTCCCCCTTCTGAACTTGACATTATGCCCTAGGACTCTCGCCACTATAGAATAAATGAAAATAGGGCGAAACAGAGATCTGACCTCTTGCCAACTGAAACCCTCAACAAAGGAATGAATCCTCACCAAGGAAATGAACAGATCTCACAGGAGAGAATGAATCGCTCTCACAGGAGAGAATTGTTCGACAGGACGGGATATATTTTAACGATATAAGACTTCATGTGCATTAATTAGCCCAACGTTGGGGCCTTAATCACTTAGTCTTAGCTCATCTCACTAGTAAGTCCTTAGCCTGTATTGTCGTCCACAAAAATACTCCAATATCCTACAAATAAGACATAAAAATATCATAACATTTGGATCCATCTAATAAATAAATAAGTCGAAAATTATATAAGTGCGATAAAATTAAGCATATAAAGATACGCTAATAAATATATAAATTACACACTTTTTTCGACCAATCATGCATTTTCCATATGGTATAGTTCGAGCCATTGATAATTGGAGGTCGGAATAGCGAAGGTCCCCGTGAACTCCGTACGTACCTAGAATAAAAAAATAAAATAAAAAGAAATACACTTATTAAATTAAGCGACCTGCTCAGATACCACTTGTTAGAAGTTTCGGTAACTAAATATTCATATTTCGATTATAATTTTAATTTAAAAATCAGACTATATGTGTCGTCTGATGTGTCATGACATATCGCACAATACCTGCAACGTCAACAAAAATTTGGTGTTAAACACTATCACACAATGAAATAAACGAAAATGAATCATTCAAATTTAGCCTACAAGTGATAAACATTAATAGACTAAGAGTGAGTAACCCAACTTATAACTTATTTGGTTAACTTATAAACTTTCTTTATACAAGGAGGTTTTTCAATACAAGACATGAAAGATGGATAAACTACCAGCTGAAAGATTTTTTTTTTCTCAATTCAGGACCTAAATATTGTAAAACTATCAGTGTGAGTCTTAGAATTAACAGAACTCATAATACCGTTAAATTGAGAGTTAGTTTGATGTTTTAAAACACCAAATCTATTATAAAGTACCAAAGTTACCAAAAGAAAAAGAAGAAAATTAAGGATAGTACGAGATTGTTGGAGAAAAGAAGAAAATTACGGATAGTACGAGATTGTTGGAGAAAATTAAGGAAAGTATGAAGCTCTTGCTCGTCTAGTTTTCATGTTGTGATCTATTTCTGTTTTTTTTTCTTTCTTTTTTTTGGAAATATTATGCAAATGTTTACTTATTATTCTATGTGAGAATTTTGTATCAGCGTTGAAAACACTGGTATCGCGGAGCTGTCTGGATTTTTTATTAGAATGGTGTTATAAGTTCTGTTAATTTTACGACTTATATTAATAGTTTTATGACATTTAGGTCCCGAGAAAAAATAAATCTTTTAGGCCCCTATTTGATAGTTTACTCATCTTTCCGGTCTAATGCAAGTGTAAGCGTCCGGGTCCGGTTCGGAATAGATCGGTTCTGGTCCTTGCCGAAGAACGCCGGAAACCTGCAAACAACTCTCGCACCGGGGGTTGTGTCCGGTGAAGAGCCTCCGATGCTTAAGTCAGTATGTGTATGAGTATACTGGAATTTAGAGAATGAATAGAACGTGTTAAGGAAGAAAGGCTCACCCCCTTTATATAGGGGTGAGATACCTGCCCTAATAGCTGCCCGGATGAGGCCACGTGGGCTGCCCGAACTGCCCGTCCGTACTCTGACACGCCGCGCACATGTCAGAGGTGCCGCGGGGCGTTGGGCGTTGTCAGAGGTGGTTATCGCTATCACCCAATACATTGTCGACACGTGTCCACCCGACACATGGGGTAAATATTCTCCTGCTGCTCAGTCAGAGACCCTCACGCGCGTCTGCCATACACGCGTTTGGGCTTATATCGATCAGACTGCTCGATCGCTCAGCTTGCTCGATCACTTATCTTGCTCGATAGAAGGGTAGCTCGACTAGTCTGCTCGAGCATCAAGCTATTCGATCACTTGTGCAGTCGATCCTCGGGTTGTTCGACCGCTTCCTTAAACTGCTCGATCGCTCGTATTTCCGCCTTTTAGCTCAGTTTGCCCTCGGTCTGCTGTATCCGGCCGACCCACCAGATCGGTTCGTCTTTATATAGATAATATCCTATATCACGGTCTTATATTAAAAAAACTCCATACAAATAAGCTTGACTTGTTAGTACGAACTTTTTTTTAAAAATCTCGAGGTTATCTAATTACCTTATTTGGGTTGTTTTAAAAATACGTTCATTGAAATTTTACCAAATACTTTTATTGTATCAACTAACTTTCAAAAACCATAAACTGTCAATTATAAACTCAAAATTATAAGTTATCAGCTAGATTGTTAACTAGTTTTACCAAACATAGCATAAGACAAACCATATATAAAAACTAATAAAATATTTTTTTTTCCTTCGTTATTTTTTTCTTTTCATATAGAAACTTATTAAACTATATCAAATAATATTGTACCATTTTCATATATAAAAAAGTGGAAGATGCTACGGTTTCATTACGGAATCATTCCATCAAAGTTTGTAAACGTTTAATCAACTCTTTCTGACGGTTACATAATGATCTAACGGATACAAATCCGGACGAAATGATTTTCCTAACGTACCCTAAAATTTCCCATAAAAACTATGACCCGTAAACTAATAGGAAACTAGAAAAGCGAAACATTAAAATATGAATAAATAATTTAATTTTTTTTATTTTTTTTAAAGAACATACTTAACACAAGAGAGTGCTGATAACCAGTTTGATTGTGATTATTCATTCAAGTTTTCGCTCAATTTTTTGTTTCAGTAATGGCCGCAAAAGGCGAGGGGCCTGCAATCGGGATTGATTTGGGGACGACCTACTCATGCGTGGGCGTGTGGCACCACGACCGTGTCGAGATCATAGCCAATGATCAAGGTAATCGCACGACACCGTCATATGTCGCTTTCGCCGACGGGGAGCGTCTCATTGGCGAAGCCGCCATGAACCAGGCCGGCATGAATCCCGCAAACACAGTCTTTGGTGAGCAGCTTTTTTCCCCATTTTTTTCTTTTGTTTTACTTTAGTAGTGTTATATTGATTTCCTTTCTTAAATTTCATAGTGTTGTGTTGAAACAAACCAAACCTACTCTGCCTCTAACTGTCTTGGTTGGTGCAGATGCCAAGCGGCTGATCGGGAGACGATACAGTGACGCCTCTGTGCAGGCCGACATAAAGCTGTGGCCGTTCAAGGTTGTCCCGGGCCCCACCAACAAGCCCATGATTGTGGTCTCTTACAAGGGCGAGGAGAAGCAGTTCCCCCCTGAGGAGATATCGTCTATGGTCCTCACCAAGATGGCCGCCATTGCTGACTCCTTTCTGGGACCCACCCCCATTCGGGATGCTGTCATTACCGTCCCAGCCTACTTTAGTGACTCTCAGAGACAGGGCACCAAGGATGCTGGTGCCATTGCCGGCCTCAATGTCATCCGCATCATCAACGAGCCAACTGCCGCCGCCATTGCCTATGGCCTCGATTACAAGGCAGCTGCTGTCGCCTGGGGAGAGAAGAAAAATGTGTTTGTCTTCGACTTAGGCGGTGGCACCTGTGATGTCTCCCTCCTCACGATCGATAAGGGTACCTTCAAGGTGAGGGCCACCGCTGGCGACACCCACCTTGGCGGGGAGGATTTCGACAACCGCATTGTCACTCACTTCGCCGCCGAGTTTCAGCGTAAGTACGGCAAGGACCTCTCTGAAAACCCCCGAGCCCTACGGAGGCTGAGGACAGCCAGCGAGAGGGCAAAGAGGATTCTATCGACCAACACTGAGACCACTGTGGACATAGAGTATCTACACGAGGGCATTGATTTCCAGTCTAGTATTAGCCGTGCTAAATTTGAGGATCTCAACATGGACCTGTTTGAAAAGTGCGTCAAGCCCGTCGAGAGATGCCTGAGAGACGCTGGGATGAACAAGACTGCCATCCATGATGTCATCCTGGTTGGAGGCTCGACCAGAATTCCCAAGGTTCAGAAGATGCTGCAGTTTATTTTCGAGGGAAAGGAGCTTTGCAGGAGAATTAACCCAGATGAGGCCGTGGCGTACGGGGCCGCCGTGCAGGCAGCTATCTTAAGTGGCGTAGGGGACAACAAGGTGCGAGACCTCGTCCTCCTTGATGTGACCCCTCTCTCCCTAGGAGTGCAAATTATCGGGGAGGTCATGTGTGTTGTGGTCCCGCGGAACACAAGTATCCCCACCCAGAAGAATTATGTAATCACAACGACTGTCGATAACCAGACAACTATTAATTTCCGTGTCTATGAGGGCGAACGGGCAAGGTCAACAGACAACAACCTGCTCGGGAAGTTCAAGCTGAATGGAATCCCACCTGCGCCGAGGCGCGTGAAAAAGGTGGACGTGTGCTTTGAAATCGATGCCAATGGGATACTGAGTGTGTCGGCCAAAGAGAGGTCGACGGGCAAGATGAATGGGATCACTATAACCAACGAAGAAGGGAGGCTGTCGAGAGAGGAGATTGATAGGATAGTGTGGGATGCCGCGAGGTACAAGGAGGAGGACGAAGAGTTTAAGAGGAGAGCCAAAGCCAGGAGCAGCCTTGAGAATTACTCTTATAATGTGAGGAACACGGTTAGGGCCGCAGCTGGGCTGGCGGAGGCTGACAGGACAATAGTAGAGGATGCGGCTGTGTCGGTTATTGAGTGGGTAGAGGAGAATCGGATGAAGGACAGTGTGGATGAAATCAACAATAAGATGAGGGAGCTAGAGCTCATTTGCAGCCCTATCATTAAAGTTGATATGGAGTTCGGTGGATTCTAATCTGGCTGTTAGCTTTTTTCAGTTCTACATTTAGTGCCTTGGTTAACATCTCATGTCAAAAACACTTGTCATATCGAGTTTTGGTGTTTTGGATTGAACATGTCTTTGGGGTTAGACGTGTCGTTCAGACCATTATCTTTTGATTCGTTTAAGTTCTTTTCCAGAAATGCGACGAGTGTGTGATCAATGTTGATTTTATGCCATTAATTTTTCATTTAGTAAGTCATTTGACCATTTTTACCGTGTGAAAAATTTATGTATTAACCCACACTGAACTTGTAGGTACAACGGCATTCCAGCAGATTTTGACAAAGTCGAGCTTAGCTCCGTCGATTGTGGCAAAGAACGAGCATCATGGGGCAACAGTGGTGGCAAAATGTCCTTTGCTCGAGTAGCAGCTGGTTAGTTGGTTCCTGCTTTAATTATGTGTTTCCCAGTTTCATCCCAAGATTACCATTTTAAATATCTGAATTTGTTGAAATTCACACGACAACCATTGAGCATACTTGTGATGCAAAAAAAAAGAAACAATTATTGACAATGAAATTGATTAACTTTTTTAAACATATATAGTTACGTGATGTAAAAAGTTAGAAAGAAAAAATATCTTCCACCATTTAACCTAAACTTACCAAACAAATCATATTGATCGAAAAAAGGTTGCTGGAACATCCCTCGACTACTAGTTTGTGGCAGCGCGAGACGGCGGAAGATCGGTGGCTCCGACAACGGTGCTGTTGTGCGAGGTACGTAGGTGGCTCCGACAACGGTGCTGTTGTGCAAGGTACGTAGCAGCCCTCGACTATATTTTAATATAGTTAAAATATAATATGACCGGAAACCGGAAGGTCCCTGTACCAAAAAAATTTGACCTATACATGTCTTTCTACAGGAGGAAGAACAAGGAGAAACAAGGCTGATATTGTTTTTTCTATGCAACATTGGCAGTTATGTGTTTAAACTTAATGGAACTTGAGGAAACTGTTGCACAATGTCTCATCTTTGTTGAAGCCATGAGGTCACTTTCTTGGTATTACTCCTGACTCATATAATTCATGGTATGGTCACTTAATGAATAATTTAAAAATATTGATAAATTTTAATAAAATGTATTCAACTTAACCATGAATAAATTAAAAACTCTCTTGAATATATCTTTTGCATTGATAATAGTATTTAAAAATTAAATTTAATGTTAATTTAATAAATTATCTTTTGCTGGTCGGGTAAAATTAAAAATTAAAAATTTTACATTAGAATGTTTATATACATAAAAGACACTATTCAAGGTGTTATAAAATAAAGATTTTATTATATAGTATTTTATAATGAAAAACAAGTAAATAGAATCATATAGTCAAGTATAAATTGAAATTTGGTAGTCATTGAAATATATCGTATATCAAAATGCTTAAATTGTTTATTAATTAAATTATTATTTATGTTTTAAAAACATTAATTAAATAAATGAATATAGACAAAAAAAGATTACAATTCAAAATAAAAATATTTACCATGAAAATTTGTGTTTCACAAGAGATAAAAGTTACTAAAGATTAAAAGTTAATAATCATAAGTTAGTATTTTACGAAATTATGGTTGTTATTAAAAAAAGAGAGAAAAAAAAAACTGAATTTTTGGATTAAACGTTGGTTTATGAGTTGCTGAAAACGCTACAAAATTAATATAATCGATAATTATATAAGTACATGCAAGTAATTTGTAAACAATCATTATATTTTAAACATTACATTTTTCTATAATATTTAATAAACTAATAACTAATAAATTCATACCTATAAAAAAAATTTGAAAAATAAAAATAAAAATATTGAATAAATATTATATTATTACAGACTTGGTATATATGTTGTGGCGAATAGAGTTGACATATTGTCTTAAATATTTGATGATAAAATATTTTCTATACTATGTCTCTTGCACCTCACGGGTTGCAACACTAGTTTAGTATAAGTAGATTTTAGATCATACTAGTGTCGATTAGTATGTTCTTTCATTTGATTATATATATATATATATATATATATATATATATATATATATATATTTTTGTTCGAAACGACAGAAGAATTATATAAAAAAAATGCGCACAAATGTGCAAAGGAGTCGCCAACAGCTGAATACAAACAGTCAACAGCTGAATATAAGCAGTCAATAGCTGAATAAAAATGGGAGAATAGTCAACACACCGCCTAGAGTTGAGCCCAACAGGATAATCCTTTTGATTATAAATAATGTATGAACGGGTTATAGGAATTTTTTTTTACATGCGTTATAGAATTAGAGCGGTAAAATGAATATAAGTTGTCAGATATTATTAGATCGATAGGTTCCCTAGCGGAGGACCAACGTTTCCTACGGCGGGTGACCGTCCAAGCAGTGACGGATGTGTATTGGGCCCGGGGGGCCCGTGGGCCCCCCTAATTTTTTCTTAAATACATATATATATATATATATATAATACTATAAAATATGTTAAAAATGTATAAAGATGTAAAATATTTTCAATATAATAATAATTATTTTTATGATATTTTAATTTATTATATTATTATTTTTATGATATTTTAATCTAAATTAGTATTATTATTCATATTAATATCTACTAAAATTATATGACATTTTTAGATAAATTTTTGGAAATATTTATAATAATTTACTCTTTCGAACTCTTAACCGAAAATCGACTTAGTGATTTATAAAATCTAGTATTTAGTTGGATGTACATTTTTAATGTTATTTTTCAATTTTTTTTTTTTTTTTTTTTTTTTT